GTCTTATTTTATTCAGTATTTCGTGAATGTAACTTGAACTGTAATCCAGTCTCTGCTGCTCTTTCCTATCGATCATTGCTTCGACCCCCTGTCTGATGCGACCTGTAACCTGCTCTATGGTGTCTCTATCAGACTTCTCTAAAGTCTTCTTGAATACATACAATGCTCTCTTTATGGTGACAAACTTGGAAAAATCAGTGGAAAACATATTCTTGCTAGAATAGACCTTAATTTTTTTTGCTACAACAGACTTCTGTTTAAAACGCTCGAGCAGGATGTTTTCTATATCAAGGCTGATATTAGGCTCCTCAACAGGAGGGACATCAGAGGACATTTCAGAGACCCATTTTCCCCATAGGTGGTTAAAGTTCTCTCTCAGTTCATTTTCACTCAATTTCTTGCCTTTTAATGACAGAGCCAACTCTTTGCTCCTTTTGAATAGCTCATTTTCATATTCTGACTTCCTTTCATCCAGTTTGCTTTGGTTGTTCCTTAGTATGATAAGTTCTTCAGATTTCCTCTTAGTTTCATCAATAAGTGACATTTTAAGTTCTGTCAGTTTAATTTCTATGTTTGCTTTCCATTGAATCAATATTTCAGCATCTGGGTCTTCACTGAAATACTTTTCAAGTTGATTCATGATGGCACCATATTTTTCTTTAACTTCTCCTTCAAGGCTTTCTCTGGTGATTTGGAGCATTTCTTTGTTCTTAATTTGATTGTTTAGTTTTATCTGCAGCTCTAGCATGTGACTTCTCAGCTCCCAGGTCCATTGGCTAAACATTGTTTCTAACCTGTTGTAGGCCGCAATCTCCAGCGTGTTCTTAAAGCTGAAAATAAAATTCTCATTTAACAAAGCATTCCACAAATCGCCTATTCGGACTTTTAATCCCGACAGCCTTAAAACACTGCCCTGAGATTCCTTGTTTGCAGCCTTGAGAATATCACTCTTTAGTTCCTGCACATTTTGGCTGTAACTGGGATTCGGAGGTGCCATTGGTGGGTCCCCTTCCCAGAGGTGAGCAAAGTAATGAATGTGGGTCTTCAAGTCAAATCGGATAACGTCACTAAAGCAGGTTGCATCACAGAATTCTTGCTGGGCTGCAGTAACGGTCATTTCATCTAACTTTTGTTGGAGGCGTCTTTGTCCTTCCATATTTTTTTCTTTTGCAGTTATGTCTCCCACATTTTGGTGCACAAACAAACAGCTTGGGGAGAGATTTACTTGCTTCATTCTCAGAAAGGCCTGGACAGCGATCTGCAGGATATCTTGCATTTCTGAAGGGTTCTCACCAAAGATATTGATCACAGTCATGTTGCCAATACCAATGACGAAGGTGGCTAGCTCATTATCATAATTAAGGGACAACTTATTAGCCTTCTCTATGGCCCGAAGCCCTTCCGTATCAACAACTAGAATGTAATCAAGTTTCAAATCCTGTTGGAGGTTCTCATCCACCTTAATCAGCTGCATGAACGCTCCCCTGGTGCATCTCCCTGCACTGACACTAAACTGAAGACCAAACATGGCATTCAGTAGTGTTGATTTCCCAGTGCTCTGAATGCCAAGAACAGAAAGAACAAACACCTTTCTGTCTCCTAGTGTCTCAATTAATGAGTCAAAAACTGCTCCGACCCATTTTAATGGCACGTATGAAGCATCGCCGTCCATCAGCTCGATGGGATAACCTGAAACCATCAGGTCAGCCGCAATTTTAGGTAATTTAAGAAAACATTTATCCTTTTGGACAATTGCATCCAGAGCTTCATAAATCTGACCTACCTCTCTCAAAATGTGTTCAATGCCAAATGTAGAATTATTTATCTCAGCTGAGAGTTTTTCTAAATCATTTTTCAATCTAGTTTTCAAATTATTTTCTTCTTTTTTCTTTATCAATATTTCAGACCATAAGTTGTGGTATTTCTGGTGAAGTTCTGCAAGGTGGTCAGAGGACAAGTCATCCATAAATACTTTCATCCATTGCAGGAAGTACTTTTTGGTGTCCTCTGGATGTGACTGGAGAAAATCAAGCACTGACTTCATTAGGTCATTGGGGGGGGATACCTTACTTAATTGATCACGTCGTATTGCATCTTTATCTGATTCAATTTGGCTCCTGTGCTGTTCAATGCTTATATTGCTTTTTTCTTGCAAGCGAGTAAGTTCCTTATCTTTCTTACACCACCTGTGCCATAATTCTCCTTGAAGAGGCAACAGCTCTTCCTTCAAGCTTGCTAAGGAAGGATTTTTGAAGTGGTCCATCAATTTCTTTGCTTTGTCCTTAGCTTCCTTGCACTCTTTTTTGTCTTCATCAATGAGGAAGCCATGCTGCCGAGCAGTTTTTACACAAGCATCAAGGCTACAAGTGGCAATTGAGCCTGCCAGAAAATCTTTGATTGTTGCTGTTATTTCATCTATTAATTCTGCCTCGTTTCTGTTCTTGATGCCTATTCCTACATTCTGGCTTGATTGACCAGCCACAATGTTCTCTTTTTCAGCAAAAAGGCAGATCAAAGGCTTTTGAGATTGCCAAAGATCACGGATAATTTGCTTGCCCCTTTTGTCATTCTGATCTGTATCTGATAAGAGAACCACATTTATAGAAGCGATCTCCTGTAAAAATTTGACTTGTTGCTTGTGCTCTCGTGCATCCCCGTGAAGATTAGTGAAGGCGATGCAGTTGTCAAATCTATCGTCATCCTTTCCACCTGGACAATACCAGGAGATTTCCACAACCCCGTTCATCAGGAGACAATCTTTGCTGCTGCCTCTACAGTGACGGTGGAAAAAAATGTCATGCTTGTGCTTACTTAGCAGAGCATTCAGGATCTGAGACTTAGAAGAATGAGGCGAATTATCAATCCGTATGAAGGACACCAGGTGTGTATGTGCCTTATACATCAGTTTGTTATAATTTTTAATGCTGGTCTCCCCTCCTGATTTTTCAGCACCTTTCCAGCTCTTTTTAACTTGGCTAAGGGCCAAAAAAGGGAATTCTATTTGTGAAGTAGAAGGATCTGGCACCAGAAGTGGGAGTGCAAACTGGCAGAAAGCGAGCTTTGTTGAAAGATGTTGTCTCATGAAATCATCTGCACAATGAAAAATTGCCATCTGGATGTCCATTGGGTGCACGTGTGTCTGCCTTGTTCCTGCAGATTCATTGGTTCCTTCACAGAAATAAAAAAAGACATCAAACGTATCTGACAAGTCACTGCCTTCATTTGAGGTGTTCAATACTCTTGTTACGCTTGGTTTTGCTTTACTGTCATCCTTACAAACCAAATACCTGACCCGATAGTCCACCATTAACAGCTTTTGCAAAAAATAAAATGGCAGCTCATCCTCCGTGCTGGGCTGGCTGTCATGTAAAGAGATATTGGAAATTATATGGACGCTGTCTGTCCCCATTTTCCTTGGATAGTACTTTTCAAGTC